CTCTACATCTGGAATCAGCAACTAGCCACAAACACCCCCACCCCAACCCAGCTGCAGCTCGGGGCCCTTCTGATGGTCCTTGGGGTGAAGTCAAGAGAGCAAAGCGTCCATATTCCATCATTTCAAAGAGAGAGACTTCGGTTGCAGCTTCGATGTAGGGGACTGAGCTCAGATTCCATGTCCCTGGAAGTCAGACTGGAGCCAGCTGCACAAGCACAAACTGTCTGCACTGACACCAGGGAAATGACATGGAACCAGGAGCCGCTCACGAGCTGCTTCCACGGCTGAGCAGGGCAGGCATCCAGAAATCTCCATCCCATCAGGTGAGGGGGGGGCGGGGGGCTTACAAAGAACTCGAAGACGATGCTGCTGTCTGGGTAGTAGTACTCAAAGTTGACAGTGCCCGACTGCTTCAGGTTCACGGCGTACATCAGCGTGGCCGTGCACTCGTCCGTGTTGGAGGCGATGTAGTCGCCCCGAGGGACCCACTTGGACCTGAGGGTAGACGGGAGCCAGAGTCACAGACAGGGCCACAGCTACCCAGCTGTGAGCCGCACGTGGGCCTCAAGTTGGGCTAGGTCCCAGCCCCAGAGGATTCCCGATGTGTGATTCACAGGGCAGATCTCAGTGATAGGCGACACAAACAGCTCTGAAGCAGGTTATGAAGCCTGGGGTACAGCCAACAAGAGGGGTACAGGCTGCACCCTCATTCTGCAGATCTATCCAGAAATAAATGCCAGGCGAGGTTGGGGGCAGGGGTTGGGTAATATTTATTGGGTACCTACTCTCGGCCTGAGAACCCTGGAGGTGTAGTGGCTACGCAATGGGCTGAAGTCCTCAAGGTCAGCAGAGGGCTGCTGCTCGGGGGAAAGACGGAACTTCCTACTCTCCTCCCGTAAAGGGTTACAGTCGTAGATACCCACAGAGGCGGTTCTACCCTGTCTTGTAGGGTCGCTATGAAAATTGTATGTTTCATCGTTGTTACACTGCACCCTGATTGGCCTGTCTCCTCCCCGCGACCTTTCTGTAAGAGGATGTCCAGTTGCCTACAGATCTTGGGTTCCCAATCTGCACCCCCCCTCACTCACAATGATATTATTTTTTTGTTCTTTGATGCCTGATAACTGATCCCATCGACAGCTTGTGATCACACAGGCTGGTGTGCTTCTTCCATGTGGGCTTTGTTGCTTCTGAGCTAGATGGCCGCTTGTTTACCTTCAAGTCTTTAAGACCGCAGATGCTATATCAGCTTTCTTGGAGGTGGAAGTTTTATATATTTATCATTTCTTTATTTTATTCCCATTTAATTGAGTGCCTTGCAAAGGTCTCTCACAGTCAGGAAGTGGTAGAGTTGGGATTCAAGGCCAGGCCTGCCCAACTCCAACCAGAACCAAACCCACTGCCAGCCAGGCAATATGATGCAGAGACACCCCAGACAGGACTTCCGAGGCTAGAAATCTTTATGGGGCAGACAGCCTCATCCTTTGCCCATAGAGTGGCTGGTGGGTTTGAATCTCTGACCTTTTGGTTAGCAGCCCAGTGACTAAGCCACAGCACTACTAAGGCTGTCCCTCAGGGCTTGGAGGCTCGGTTTTATTCAGCCTGCTTCCCTGGAAAGGCCCACTGTCAATGCTCTCAGTAACTGGTTTGGTGGAGAAGGAAGAAACCCAGGGAGAACTGCAGGCACAACCAACCCAGTCTTGTCTGGTTTACCTCCTAATCTCTCTCTCACACATCTGCTTACCCTGTGTACCATCCCCCCAGGCCCTCGCTCAGCACCCCTCTGCAGCAGCCTCATCCTCTGACCTCATCTCCCGGCACCCAGTCCTACCCCCCAACCCCTTCCGTACAGGAGAAACCTCCAGAAAGAAATCTGGCCCTGTCACTCCCTGGTGTAAGCCTGCTGTGACTCCGGTTGCTTAAAATAGGGTCCAGATGCTTCGCCCACTCTTAGGCTCCAGTCGTATTGGAATTTCTTCCAATTCCTCAGCTAAACTCTCTCTCACCTCTGGCTTTTCCCACATACTGCTCCCTTTTCCTGGAGCACACTTCCTCCTCCCTCCCTTTTTAGCTAGCTCCCACTCTCCCTCACTGTCATCCAGTAGAGGCCGACTCACAGCCACCTGCAGGACAGGGTGGAACAGCCCCAGCATGTTTTCACAGGAGTAGAGAGCCCCATCTTTCTCCTGAGGAGCAGCTGGTGGTTTCGAACTGCCGACCTGGCAGTAAGCAGCCCAACTTGTAACCACTTAGGATAAACATCACCTCCTCCAGGTAGTCTTCCTGGACTCTTGTCTGTCACTGCTACATGTGCCCTTAGCTCTCTTATCATAGGTTCCCTTATCATATCGAGAGTCCAACTGCTTCATCTATTTTAACCTATATAATGAAAGACAAGATGTACACAAAGGTATATGAACATATACCTACCATAATGCTAGTAAGAAAGGCTGTGCACCCTGGGCAACCTCACCCTCTTTCTAATCATCCACTCCCTTCCCCACTACCACGGAACCGTTCCCTTGAGTTTGCTGTTTATTATCCCCATGTTGTTCTCTAGCTTTGCTAATCATGTATGTCTCTCTAAACAGCACACTGTACAGTACGGTTTTGCATGCTTATGTACTCTTCCACAGGCTTCTTTCGGGGCGGGGAGGGCAAGGGGTTCAATACAATGAGATCCATCCATAGTCACCCATGTATCTCCATGTCTTCGATTGTCACTGTGGTATAATATTCCCCTGCCTGGCTCTACCACACTTGCTTGTGTGTTATTTGTTGACGGGCATTTAGACGGTTGTTGATTTGTTGGTGTGCACAGCCTGCAGTGAACACTCCTGTCACTGGTACCCTGTACACATGTCTGAGGGGGACATGGGGAGGTAGAACTGCTGGCTCAGAGACTACAAATCTCCAACTGGCCCAGCCACTGCCCCAAGTGGTTGGAGCAATTGACATCCCACCAGCAGCATCCTCAAGTCCCTGGTGTTCTACATCCTCCCCACACCTGGAGCGGTCAGATGGGAATGCTGGTGCCAATTGGATGTGGTGTGAGGTAGTGTCCCACTGGGCTTTGAATGTTACTTCCCAGGTTCTGGCTGAGGTTGGGCATCTATTCTCAGTTTACTGGCAAGTGGGGCTTCCTCTTTTGATCACATTGTAAGTCTTTGTTTAAGTGTCTGTCTTCCTGGCAGGGCTATAGATGCCGTCAAGCCACAGGCCATACTTACCTGGCTCACATAGAAGAGTCAGATAAAGGAATCCAGGAGGACTTCCAAGAGGAGGTGATGTTTATCCAAAGACGTGGGCATAGGGACTAAACAGAGGGGAAGAGCAGGAACTGGGTTCCAGGAAGGGGGGAGGTCCAAAGGGCCGGAGGAAGTTTGGCAGAGGGCTTGTATCTCCAGGATCCGACACTGTGCCTGACACACAGGCTGGACTGCAGGGATGACAGCGATGGGTGTGGGAAAGGACGAACAACACAATCCCACCGTTTCACTGGTCTGTGTGAGACCAGCGTCTTAGTAACGAGGGTTCTAGGGAACTCAAAATCAGTCCACAGGCCTCTCCTTGTGTTTGCCGTTTGCCAGGATACCGTGATATTTCCAGCTCTTCAAGAGTCAGTGTTATTCCCCAAATGAGAACATATTCAAAATCTCTAGGCTGATCTCATCCAGAACAGCCCAGCTCGCCTAAATGGCAGCGATTTCTCTCGTTGACACAGGCGACACCGAATGCTGACGTGACACACAGGAGCAGCTATAAATAGCATCTAAAGCTGGATGAATTATGAAAAGGGTGCCGTAAGTGGGCTGCATTTGCAAAATGCTCTGCAGCTCCGGTTTTCGTCAGCGTTATCCCTGGTGGAGATGCTATCACGTCCAGTAAGTACAGCACGTTTCAGTTGACCTTTAATGCCGGCTACTGTTCTAGATTTTCACAGGTTGGCACCTCACTCAGATGCCTGGGTGGCACCCACAGCTAAGCATTCAACTGCAAGCCCCAAGGTTGATGGAGAAAGTCCACCCAGAGGTGCTGGGAGAGAAGGGCTGGTGATCTACTTGTGAAATATCAGGCACTGAACACCCCCGGGACACGGTTCTCCTCTGACACACGTGGGGTCTCCTTGAATCAGAACTGATCGCACACCAACCATCACAGCCACCCCAAACGTCTCATTGCACCCCCATTCCACCCAGCGAGGGGGCATGGGCTTTAGCCTCATTTCTGGAATGAGAAAAGTGAGGCCCAGAGGTGTTAGGAAACCTGTCCAAGGTTTTTCCCACTGCTCCACGCCATGCCAACATGAACCTGGGGAAGCAGAGGTTTTCAAGGTCTAAAAGCAGATCAGTTCTGCATTCAACAACTGTACATTTTATCTCGCCTCATCCATTGCGGTCTTCTCAGTGTATATGACCACGTATCCTACATCCGCCCTGTGTTTTCTGTCGCCACTTTGTCCTTAAGCAGATGCAGTGGCTGTGTGCTCTCCCAGGAGGTAAATTCAGTTCCAGACTTGAGGGCGACGAAGGGCCAGAGTCCTGAGGATTCCACCAGTCTCTGCCTGACCAGTAAGTCAGTCTCTTTTATGATTTCCTCCTGCTTCATCCAGGACTTTCCCATGGGATCCCTTTCAGGGCAGTTTGGAGGGGTAGCCAGGCACCATCTAGTTCTCCTGGTCTCAGGGTCGTGGAATCAGTCTCCATGTGGGACTAATTGTTTCCATAGGTCTTTCAATTTTATTATTTTTAAAAATCATTTTATTAAACGGCTCGTACAACTCATCACAATCCATCCATCCATCCATTGTGTGTCAAGTACATTTGTACATTTATTTCCCTCATCATGTGTTTCAATTTTCATCACCCTTCTTTCCTCCAGACCGGGAGAGACCAATTACTAGGCCCTGAGATGGCTGCTCCTGAGCTTTTAAGACCCCAGACACTACTCATCCAAGCCGGATGTAGAACACTGTCTTTGTGAACTATGCTATGTCAAGTGACTCATTCCCTCCAAGTGTTTGCTTACGGCTAAGAGGGTTTCACACCTTTGTCCCCTCTGTGCTACACCACACTCCTGGATATACATACACAACCATTCGTTAGAACACCCTCACTCTCTCATGGAGGGGCTCTTGCATAACTGACTGTGCAGGTGCTGGGACAGCTGGCCTAGCTCACAGCGTCTGACGCGGTGTCATACTGTAATGGAAAGGAGGACTGCACAGCTGAACTTAGACGTTTCCCGTAGTTGGAGTCTCTCTGCGTTTTGTCCTGCTTTTATTGTGGTGAAATAGAGGAAGCAGAACATCTGCCAGTCCAGTCATTTTCATGTGTTCAAGTCAGCGACATCATTTGCATATTCACGATGTTGCGTAATCACCACCATTGTTGTTTCCATTTGTTTCCCACCACCTCAACAGCTCTTCAGTGTGCCGAGGCAATAACTTCCCATCTCTCTCTCCAACGCCCCGCGCTAGCTGCCGAGACACACTG